TAAATGAATCTGAAGATGTTGTAAAGGAAAAATAAACATGTATGGTTGAGACTCCATCCCTGAGGCTGCTCCTACAGACCCAGCCTATTTCCTACTGTTGTGTCAGGGTTGGTGCTTCCAGCACCCAGCAACAAGGCCCTGAAGCCTGCCAGCCACTCTCAGTGATCTCAGGGCCCCTCACCCTGAGCACTCAATGGGAAGGCACACAGGTGGTATATTCTCAAGTAAATTTAGACTCAGAACTGTTTCATATCCTTGTTTCTCTGAGTAATCTGTTCTGCTAAGTGCTCCCCTTTACAGTCTGGGACCAATCAGTTACCACAAAGTCAGATGAATGAATATGGAAAAGAACGTGTTCATAGTTTGTTCTGGTGCATTCACAATAAGGAAGCAACATTACATTTTGACTAAGTCTTTCATTTCTAGCTTCTTTTTTGGCTAAAGATGTCCTCAATAGAATCAATTAAACTAGATAATCAGATCCAGCCAAAAGTCCCGCAGAAGAACAGTTATTAGTATGTTGACTTACAAATTTTCTCAACAGTACTACACATTTCTTCCCCAAAATGGAAATTGTATGGGCAGCACAGCTTTGGCTTCTGGCTTGCTTGCATAAGCATAGTTGACATAGCTGCATTTAACCAGTTGCCATGGAGTCGATTCCAACACATTCAATCCCACGTGTGTCAGAGTAGAACTGCACGCCACAGGGTTTTCAGTGGCTAACTTTTCAGAAGTTGATCACCAGGCCTTTATTCTGAGGCACCTCTGGGTGGACTTGAATCAACAACCTTTTGGTTATCAGCCAAGCACATTAACTATACCGCTCAGGGACTCTGTAACCACATTAGCACAATTTCATTTCCTCCTGATGGTCTACGTTATCTTGATATTTCTTCTTGAATGTATAATAAATATATTATTATCAGTGCATATTTTTTATTATTATTCTTTGGTCTATAAGGACTAAGTGAACAAAAATATCAAGATGTCATATTTAGCTAAATTTAACTTTTCATTTTTTTAATTACCTAAAATTTTCAACCAAGATATATTCTCAGAGAATTGTGTAGATACTTTTTCTCCTATTTTTTTTTTTCCGGGTAACAACAACCGAACTATTAGCCAGCAGATTCCAATGGAAAGAACTTTGGACTAATTCCATTTAGAAAACCTTGTTTGTGGCTCCCCATCTGCCAATAGCATGTGACCTTTAACAACCCACTTCACCTTCTTGGACTCTCGTTTCCTAACCTGGAAAAGCCTGGAGTTGAGCTATGCATTCATTCATCTGGTATTTGTTGAACTGAACACCTACTATGTGCCAGGCACTATTCTAAGTGCTGAGGATACAGCAATGAACAAAATTGCCACCCTCTTATAGACTATGGAAACCCCAGTGGTGTAGTGGTTAAGGGCTATGACTGCTGGCCAAAAGGTTGGCAGTTCAAATCCACCAGGCGCTCCTTGGAAACCCTATGGGGAAGTTCTACTCTGTCCAATAGGGTCACTACAGGATCGACTCGATGAGTCGGGATCGGCTCGATGGCAACAGGTTTGGTTTTTGGTTTTGTAGACTATAGCCTAGTGGAAGGAGCTAAATCATAAACAACTTAACAAATGTAGGAATTCACATTTGTGACAAGTGCTGTAAAGTAAAAATAAACCAAGGTAAAGAAATAAGGGTGTCTGGGGATTTTCTATTCAAGATAAAATGGGGAAGGCTTCTGGGACAAGGTGACATACAGAGTTAGCCTAGCTGATTCTAAGAGGGGAGTAGAACCGTATAATCTTCATATCCAAACCACAAGAGGGCAGTGCAAGCAAAGGCAGCTAAGACAGCTAAGGCCTATTTCACTACGACGGACACTAAAAAACTTCCCTCCTAAATAAAATATTAGGTACCAAGTCCAACAATGTATTAAACAAAAAATATGTCAAGATCAAGTAGGACTTCTACCAGGAAGACAAGATCAGAAAACTATCCATGTAATTCTCCATCTTAATGGATTTAAGGTCAGAATTACATTTTCTCAAAAGATACTGGAAAAGCATCTGATAAAGTTTAATACTGGCATGTGATCAAAATAATTAGGTAATTAGTATGTATAAGTTTCATGAGATCAAAGATTTTCTTTTTAAACTGGTTCACTGATGTATCCCAGGTATCTAAATACAAATGCCTACATTTAATTTGCAGTTCTCTAAGGGCTAGTGATCGTGAGCAACAAATGCCTACATTTACTAGACATTCGCTACATATTTGTTGAATGAATGAATGAAGTCCTTTGGACTGGTAAACCATCTACCAAAAACCTACCACAAACACCATTCTTAATTGAAAAAAGCCTCAAAAATATTCCCTTTCAAGTTGGGAACCAGGCAAGGGCAACCTCTCCTGATCAGAACACGAAGGTGATTCTAGTCAGCATGGTGTTGTGGGGCAGTCCTGATTTAATGGTAGAATTCTCACCCTCCATGCTGGAGACGTGGGCTGGGCTTGATTACCAGTCAATGCACCTCATGCACAGCCACCACCTGTCAGTTAGTGGAGGCTTGTGTGTTGCTATGACGCTTAACAGACTTCAGTGGAGCTTCCAAACTAAGATGGACTAAGAAGAAAAGCCTGGTGATCAACTTTCAAAAATTAGCCAATGAAGATGGATCACAACAGTCCGATCCTTTCATGCATGGGATCCCATGAGTTGGGGCCAACTTGGCAGCAGCTAACAACAAGTCAACACAGTGGGGCAAGAACAGGGGTTAGAAGGCAACACTGTCTCTATTTGCAAGGGCATGATCACTGTTCCAGTAAAACTACTGAAATCCACTGTTCGGAAAGCTTCCTGGTAACAAAGTTTCTGGGTATAAACATCACACTATATTCCTCTCCTCACAGCAATACTTGTTGAGAAAAAAGTAACCAAAAGCAACATACCACTTACAACAGGGACCAAATCTAGACACTGTTGGAAAATTGTATGAAATTACCTAACAAAGAAAACAGAAAACCTTTCTGGAGAAAAATTTTTGAACTCCATCAAAGACCTTCAAAACTAAAAGAAGAGAGATTTATGCCATGTTCATGAATGTAGTGATTTAATGTTTTAAATGTCACTTCTCCCCCAAATTAATCTAAAAATTCATTGCAAGTCCAATCAAAATCTCAGCATGTATTTTTGTAACTTGACAAACTCACTCTATAATTTATAGAAGAATAAAGGTCTGAGAGTAGCTTTAGAAAAGTTTAGAAATTAATTAAGTTTGATTAATTTAGAAATTAATTAGTTTAACTTAATTAATTTCTAAATTAGTTTAGAGAAGGAGAATGAAGAGGAAGGACTCACATCTCCAGATAGTAAGACAATTTCAAAGACATGGTAATTAAAACAGTATGTTACTTGTGTGAGGAATAAACAGTCATAGCAAAAGAACAGGATAGAGCAAGAGTCCAGAAACAGACCCATGACACAAGAAAATTTAGTATGTAATAGAAGAAACTTCACAGTGTCAGAGAAAAGATTAATTATTTGGTAAATCATGACAGAGGAATTGGCTTACTAAATGGAAATTTAAAAATTGTTGGGTTCTAGTTCAAAATTCAAAAAAATGCAAAAACTCCACTCCTGAGTACTCAGTGTGTTTCTCAGGTATGCAGAAAATATGCAGGAGGGTTTGTAGTGGTTTTAGTGTCCTTCACTAGAGATACGTGAACTGTGTACAAGATGGAATTCCAGGCCTTCCACAAAGTAATGGTTCAATACACAGAAAGTAACTTAATAGATCTCAAAAACATGTACCAAGTGAAAAAAGGGAAAAGCCAAATGAGATTTATGGAACTATGCTGTGTTTGCAAATTTCTAAAACTCACAAACACAAAATATGTATTTCTGCATTTGTACATATATGTTAAAAAAAAAAAACTAAACTAAAAAAAGTAGGTTGGAAGGATGTGCATTACATTCACAGGAAAGTGGTTGCCTGGAAAAGCTGGAAAAGGCAAGAAGACCTGTGCAGTGATGGGTGTTTAGAGAGTTCCAAGAGCTGAGGTGTGCAGGCAACACAGCCTAGGCACCTGAGGTAACAAACTACCTCAGGTAACACTCCCTGTCCTGCTCAATCTCGTCACCAAACACACACACACACACACACACACACACACACACACACACACACACACAGAGTTAAATTGTGTTCAAGTCCAGTTGAAGACTATGGCTTCATCCCTACCTATCAATAAGAAAATGCAATGTTTTTAACTACCATTTAAGTAACTCTATCTTGCTTCTTTATTTTCACTGGATAAAGGGTTTAAATAATAATCCTGGAATTTGATCAACGGTTAGGTTACTTCAGTTGCGTTTATTAAATGTAGTAACTCTTGGACTGTACCAATGTCAAGTCAAATACATCTCTTGACTGGAAGATGGAAATTTCAGTCAAACCCATAGAATTATTTGGACATGACTATATTGCCATAAATAGCCAACCTCAACATCACTAGGCACTTTACCACTTCTCTGAATAGGAAAACAAGAGGCTAACTGACAGGGGATTTGTTTCCTGCTCCATCACATTTTACCATCTGCGAATGAAAACTTCATTAATTCAACTTCTAGAGATACATATCAAAAGCCCAGGAGCCTGCACTTCTCTTTCCACTATGAATGCATTTGGAAGAAAAACATTCTCAGCTTTTGTATTTATTTACTTTAAAGGGCATGAAAATCCAGCTTTCAGCCAGGGCCATAATCATTTTCCAAGTTTAACAACTCACAGGGGGACCTTTCCCTTATCCCTATTGCCCCTTTAGTCTGAGAGCATAAGTCTTTCTGTCTCTGGGTTCCAGGGTGTTAAAGAGAACCTTCAGCAGGCACATTTAGATATAGAAGGCAGAACTGTGGTCACCAAGGGCAATGGCCAAGGGGAGACATAAAAAGTGGGTGTAAGCTTACTTAAAGGAGGCCGTCTGCCTGACATCCAGCCCCCACCACACTCACCGTGCCTTCAGGGTCCATCAGCAGCAGGTGCTTGGCCTGGCCGTTGTGCATGCCGGTGAGGACAAAGGAACCCGAGTTCGTGGTGCTTTTCCTGACCAGGAAGTCTCCATCCTTCTTCAGCAGCCCCTCTGCCTCCTTCCTGCTCATCTCTCCTTGGTACCATGGCTCTTCCTTTAGTTCTTCCACCATCTTGGCATCCGGGGCTCTGGGGGAGATGGGGCTGATGCATTCTACTGAGGCTGCCTTGCTCAACATTGGTCCTATGGTCTGGTTCTTGAGAGCATCTTCAAAAGGTTCTGTCAACAACAACAATTTCCAGCAACAAATCAATCCCAAGAAGAGCAATTGGTAAAAAGTACAATGTCAGAGATGGAAATACAAAGGCAACTTCTACAAAAAAAAAAAAAACTTGATAAAAATAACTGGCTGTTAATGTAACAAGACTCATCCTAGCAAGTGTTTAAAAGCACAGCCAAAATTTGGGGATGACTCCAATGAGTCTGGTTTTCCAAGACAGCTGGGATTTGTATGTTGTGCCGAGTATTCAAGCACACTCATTGTCTAGCTGGTTAGAATGACTTCACTTTTGCCCACTGCCTAATCCAAGAGGCCATGCATATTACATGCTGTCTACTTTCTCTGGAACATTTGACCACCTCTTAAAATATCTCTTCCCCTTTGGAATAAAAACCTGCAAATACTCAGAGGAAATACACAATGGAAAAGATATGCTGAAAGGTTTTGATTTAATTCAAAATCTAAGTGCAAACCACCAAATTCTTATTTCAAAATCTTTGCATCAGACAAATTGTGAAAAGAGAAGAAAGCTGGCATTTGTTGAGTGTTTTTTATGTGACTTGCCCCAGACTAGGAGCTCTACCTTCCCTTGACCTTTGCTTGTGTCCCTGTGGGAAAAGACTCCTGTTCTAGTGTCTGAGATCAAACCTGGCTTCATCCCCTTCAGAACACCCTACTCGCTGCAGCATATCAGTGAATGTGGGAAGATCCACTCTCACAGAAACAAATACCAGCAGCCCAAGAAGGAGCCAGGCCTGTTTAGATAAATCTCATTGTTAGCTTTTCTAATAAAGTAATATGTACAAAAGTACTCTGAAAAAGGATACACAGTGCTATGCAAGTGTGAGGTATTATGATGATTACTGAAGACCACACTGACCATCCAGTACAATGCAAGCCACACGAGAGCAGAAATGGTTATGTCCTGGTCACTATTATACCCCAGACCCCAACACTGTTCCTGGGATATAATTTGTATTCTATAAATACTCAATAAATGCTGTAAAATAAGACAAGTTTGTTAAATGTTAGTAGAGAATGGGCATAAGTAAGGTGAATAATGAAACCAAAAGTAGGTCATTTTGATACTTGTTAAACCATTTATAGATTTGGGGAGAGGAAGAGGTTAACACTATTGGCTAAAATTCTGTTTGAGGATTGTTCTCTTTTTTTCTTTTTTCCAGATTATCCTGAGTAGCTGAAAATTTGTATTATACTGTTTTTGCACCATCACCACCACCAACTTCAGCATGATCGGCACCACCCTTACCTCCATCATCAGTTCCATAAGAAACCACAGTTACCATCAGCACCCCTATTACTACCCTCATTCCCACATTCACCTTTATCATCACTATCATCATCATCATCATCACAACCATCACCACCACCATTACCATCACCATCACCACCATCAGCACCACCATCAATACCAGTACCACCATCAGCACCAGCATTACCATCACCACCATCATGAGCACCAACAGTACCACCATTAACATCATCAGCACCATCACCATCAGCACCACTAGCACCACCATTACACATCACCATCATCATCACCACCATCAGTACCACCATCAACATCAGTACCACCATCACCATCAGCACCACTAGCACCACCATTACCATCACAATCATCATCACCACCATCAACACCAGTACCACCATCACCACCAGCACCATCAGCACCAGAATTACCATCACCAACATCATCACCATCATCATCACCATCATCAGTACCACCATCAACACCAGTACTCCATCACCACCAGCACCATCAGCACCAATAGCACCATAAACACCATCTCACCATCTTGACCATCATTATTTAGTTCTAGAGGTTCAAGATAAATAAGACAGAATGCTGGCTTTACTTCTATTTCCATACTTTTCACTACACACCAGCTTCTGCTAGGCCCTTTCTACCTTCTGTCTCACTTTCTCTAGTTTTGGAAGCAGGAGTAGTGGAAATCAACTGATGGAAAAAGGGCTGTGGTCCCTGTTTTTTCCCAACTAAAGCCCCAGTCCAGTCTCTTTGCTCAAGCTCTGAGGCCAGGAGTCACTGGTAAATTGACTAAGTTAAACAGTAGCCTTGTCCTCACACACACAAAACACTATGAATATGAAGTGTTGATCCAGCAAGTATGGACTCAGCCATCCAGCTCTGCCTTTCTCAAGCAGTAAATAAAGTTACTTAACATCTAGGATTCTCTGCTTCTTTCCCTGTAAAATAAGGGTAATAATAATAATATCATCCACCTGTAAGACTGTTTTGAAAATTAAATAAACTTACTAATGTTGGTCTCCTCTCCCTCCGTCTTCAGCTTGTAAAATTCAAAAGTGATTTGAAAAAGTAATTTTAGAATGTAAAGTATGAATTTTTGTGTGTTTGGGAAGCTCTTTCAAAATTCTTTAATGACAATTTCCACTTTTATTAATCAGTTCATAAACGATTTTACTAATCTGTATTCCAAATGAAAACTCCAGGGCAATCATCACCCTATATTGCCATCAAAGACAGCTTGTAGTGGCTCCCCTCATCCTGCCTTATGTTCCATCCCAGCACTTATCATTACCTGGTAGTACATATTCAGTTGTTTCTTTAAGCTCCCTGTAGTAGAGACTTGGTCTGTTTTGTTTTCCTGTGCATCCCTAGTAAGTAGAATAGTATCTGGCACGTGGTAGGTACTCGATAACTATTTGGGGAGTGTTGGGTGAGAGGAGGAGAGACTAAGAGAAAGAATGAGAAAGAGAGTGTGTGGATGCATGCAAGAGAAAGTGTATTGTAATTTATTTCTTGTTTATAGTTTGGTCTTGCTTCATAGGCTGAGAGTTCCTTGAAGACGGGGGCTATGCCAGTTCATCTTTGCATCCTTAGCAACTAAAACAGTATTTGGCACGTAATGAAACAAAACCAATTACTGTTGAATCAATTCCAACCCATGGCGATTCTACGTGTGTCAGAGAACAGTGTTACGTAGGGATTTTGATGGCTAATTTTTTGGAAGTAGATCACTAGGCTTTTCTTCCAAGGCACCTCTGGGTGGACTCGAACCTTCAACCTTTTGGTTAGCAGCCGAGTGAGTTAACCATTTGTACCACCCAGCGACTCCTGGCACACAATAGCCAATTAATATCTAAACAAACAAATACATGAATATATTTAATTATATATATTGTCTGTCTTCATACATTTGCAGATCTTCAAGAGAAAAATTAGTTCCAAAAAGAGAGGGGAAACTGCTGTGCCTCTGGACCGCAGAAAAGGTTGGCATTTAATCCCAAAGCAGAGACAGGACAAGTTCAAAACCCTAAATGTCCACCATCATAACCCCAAAAAGCACAGCTAATCATCTCCATTAATCCAAACCCTACTAGCAGGAAATTCAGTAATTGCACAGATTTCAAATAAAAGGCAATGCATAAAACAACCTCAAAAGAGAAGGAAACTTGAGGCAAATGGAAACTCACTCATGTCAAACAAGTCTTTCCGTGGGCTGTTCTCTCCACTGCTGCTGGCCGCTCCCATGTCCAAGTTCAGTGCAGCCCCTGCCAGGGCCAGCCCGGCCTGCTGTGGGATGTGCTGGGTATTGACGTAGGTGGGTGCTTCTCCTGTAGGGGCCTCGAGTGACTTTCCTTCTGGCATGCTGTAGATGTCCAAAGACCCTGCAACAAGAAAATGACCCCTTTCTCTTCTTATGATGTGAATGATATTCATGCATCTGTATTTAAGCCACCAAACATTTAATAGAGAAGTTCCTTAATCTAGCAATAAAAAAAAATTTCTTCCAGGGAGATACTGGGTGGTTAAGTTCTCATCTTCTGATTCTGCCATAACACACTGACGTGTTCTGGACCCCGGAAAGTGTCCAGTCCTTCATGTCAAAATGGGATCTGTGAGCCAATATCAGGATGGACATCCATGATGGTTAGGAGCCTTACCAAAGATTCTGGGCCTCTCTAACGGGAAACTCGTGAGAGTGGAGCATGCAACACGGGTGGTAGAAAGGCAACTCAGAAGGAAGGACTGGTGATCTACTTCCTGGCCTCCTCATCTCCATTATAAGTGCTCCCATGTCAAATAATTGGACAGAAGAACGACAAGCTTTGTTTTAATTGCTCCTTTTTTTTCAGTGCAAGTGAATGCTTTATAAAGTCACTCCACTCTACCAACACAATATGGGTGCTGTGGTCCCCATTGTAGAAAGGTACTTCCTAATGAACTAAGAAGTGTTCCTTATAAAACACAGCCAGCATTGCCGACCAGAGCTCCACACAGGAACCCTGGGTGGGCATGTGATGGAAGATCCCCACCTCCTCTGAGGCCATGACATTGCCGCAGTGGGGCTTCCCAGCTGGTGAAAAGATGAGCTGAGGCACACCTTTAGATGCAGATATAGAGGTAGAGGTAAAAGAAAATGTAGGTGTAGGCTTAGGCATAGGGGCTGGTGTAGGTGTACGCATAGAAGTAGATGATAGATATAGAATAGGGGTAGGCGTAGGTATAGATGTAGGAATAGGTATAGATATAGATATACAGTAGATATACAGACGTGTATAATATAGAGACAGAATAGATGCAGATGTATATATTTATGTGTGTGTGTATCTAGAGAATAGAGACTTATGTTAGCAGTTAGCTTCCAGTCAGCTCTTAGACAATTATATCTAAATTATTTTTAATGTGGAATGTAAGTGCATTTTAATAGGTTTGATAAGATGTGGATGTGTCCCTTAATAGCACTGGGGCCTATGAGAGACTTATACCCAAGTGTCCATCTCTGCCACATGCTGGTGTATAGGCATCTACCCACATACCTAACTGTCCATCCTCAGTGGCATTGAAGAAAGCAGGAATAAGATGCATTTTATTCCCCTTAAGAATGGTTTCTCCCCTATAGCTTTGGGCCCATCTCAAAAACGATTTTATATCTGGTGCTATATCAATCCCTAGGCTAGAGTAGGTGCTTTGATTTTCCTCCTGAAGCAGACCCTGGGTGGAGAGAAGTGGGGAAGTGTGACAAGGAAAGGAAGGCAGCCAAAACAGGGCATGTCAATAAACAAGTCACTGCTATGAACCGCTGGGGCTCAAGCCTGCTGGGGAGCTTATAAATAATATCAACACCCTTCAAAGTTACCCTCCTATTCCCATTTGAAATTGGTCGAGGGTGCTTGGAATGCCAGTTTCTCAGCACCTCTGGACATGCAATCTCTCATGCCAGAGGAGAATGTCCGCAGGGTGCTGTGGGCCTGCACTGGGCCCTGGATTTTACAGTAGGCATTGTCTAATTTGTGCCAGTGGCCACCCTAGACAGCTGCTATTTCTATGATCTAGCTAGGAATCTGCAGCGCCAACCACAGTAAATATTTATGATAGGTTTCTCTACCACTCCACAAGGAATGAACTACCTACTGATAAGCACATTACTTTTTAAAAATATTCTTGCTTCTCACCCACTTCACCTTGCCTCTCACCTTGTCTAACAGGTGGCTGCTGCCAGTCTTCGCCAAACTTGTCTCCTAAGTGTCTTCCCTGGTAATAAGTTTGCTCTTTTCCTGCAAACTATACACAGATATAAATACACACACAAAGAGAAAAAATCATCCCCTTCTCATTTCACCATCTTTGAAAACCATAATATAGTAGCAGGGACCTTAACGGTGGGCCAATTGCATCCCATATTACACCTAATTTTCCCTTCATGCTTCACAGCTGGCATTAAGATTTGGGAAACAGGTTTCTGTGAATATGAGGAAGAGTATGCATCACCATAAAAACTACATACCCCCTCTTGTTTTCATTACCCCTACATTCCCTTCCTAAGTGTGGCCATAAATTGAGCTCGTCCATATGTAGCTGCATCACTCAACATATCTTGAAATAAATTTCAATTAGAGAGTGTCTATGTGTCAGAATATACTTCTCATCCAACACATATGCCCATAATCTGTTCATGCTTGGCTAAGTCCACCCAAAACAATCCTGTCTATTCCCTCTCATTGTTAGATCCTTGATTTCAATGTTATTTTGACACTTTTATTGGTATCCTTATCATTCGCATAAGGTAGATGGTGTGAAAAAAAATTCCCTGAAACAAAATAGATACATCATAACCATAAAAGGCAATTGTCTTACTAGAATTTTGAGTTGGAGGGAAAATCAAGGAAATGAGTAAAATGGAAAAGCTCATAAAATTCTCACCATTTTAAGGGACTACATCCACTATCTTTTCAAGGGCCCCAAAGCACACCAGGCCTCTTAAAAGTCTTGAAATCTCTCTTCTCCTCATTAGGACCACAGTCTGATGGAATTTGTCCTACAGTAGGGAGGAGATCTAAGACTCCTATCTCATGAATCACAAGACAGTTCCAACGCATTTGACTAATGCCTCGTCATATTAAAACAAAAGCCTCTCCTATCTGTGAAATCTGATGGGAGAGAGTTCATGAGTTCTTCTGTCAAGAGAAGATAGAACATCAGCCCGAAATAAAATTGAAGGAAATAAAGTGTAGCTGGCCACAGCTAAAAAAAGAAAAGGTGCAAGATTTACCTGGGCTGTGTCAGGAACATAGGATCTAACTTTCTGTCGAGCATCATGAAACCCCCCTGGAGGAGGCACCTTGTTTGGAATGCTATTGTAGTATGGATGGTCAGAGTCATCTCCCTCTTCTTCGGTCCATGGCTCATCCAGACTCTGCATTCTGTAAAAAGAATATTTTCAAAAGCTTTGAGCTGACAAGACCAACAAATCTATGGCACCTATTGCCCAAAAAAGAGTTTAGTCACTGGCCCCTCCCCAACTACCTAGGTATTAGGCATATGTGAGAAAAGATGAGTGGTTTGGCTAAATATACCTGCTTTATTTAGAATTAAAATTCCAGTCATATTTGAAACAGGAAATAACCTCTTTTGTAAGTATATTTTAATTTGGAAAGAAAGAATTTATGCATAAGGATATGCATGGCACAGACACACATTTGTCAGTCATAAAATTTACCCAAAACAAAATCAACTCAGAAGCAGAGTTTTAGTTATATCAGCAAAAATGCAGAATAAGGGCCTCTGAAGATTCTCTCCTGCACAAAAGCAATGAGAAAACTGGCAAAAATTGCCAGAATCAACTCTTTACAGAATTCTAGAAATGAATCAGAGGCTTGCAGCAAACCACAGACTGTTTATTCAAGAAAAATAGCTGAATCTCAGTAACAATAACAGTTTTGTGGCATTTTAACTTGCCCTATTCCCCTCTCCAGAACACTTAATTGTGTTCATGAGGAACCCGTACATAGATCAAGAGGCAGTCATTCAAAACAACAGAACAAGGGGATACTGCGTGGTTTGAAATCAGGAAAGGTGTGGGTCAGTGTTGTATCCTTTTACCATACCTACTCAATCTGTATCCTGAGCAAATAATCCAAGAAGCTGGACTATATGAAGAAGAACGGGGCATCAAGATTGGGAATACTCATTAACAACCTGCGTTATGCAGATGACACAACATTGCTTGCTGAAAGTGAAGAGGACTTGAAGCACTTACTGGTAAAGATCAAAGACCGCAGCCTTCAGTATGGATTACACCTCAACATAAAGAAAACAAAAATCCTCACAACTGGACCAATAAGCAACATCATGATAAACTGAGAAAATATTGAAGTTCTCAAGGATTTCTTTTTACTTGGATCCACAATCAACACCCATGGAAGCAGCAGTCAAGAAAACAAAAGACTCATTGCATTGGGCAAATATACTGCAAAAGACCTCTTTAAAGTGTTGAAAAGCAAAGACGTCACCTTGAAGACTAAGGTGCACCTGACCTAAGCCATGGTGTTTTCAATAGTCTCATATGCACGTGAAAGCTAGACAGTGAATAAGGAAGATTGGAGAAGAACTGATGCCTTTGAATTATAGTGTTGGTAAAGAATATCGAATATACCACGGACTGCCAAAACCACGAATAAATCTGTCTTGGAAGAAGTACAACCAGAATGCTCCTTGGAAGCAAGGATGGAGAGACTACATCTCAAATACTTTGGACATGTTATCAGGAGGGATCAGTCCCTGGAGAAGGACACCATACTTGGTAAAGTAGAGGGTCAGTGAAAAAGAGGAAGATCCTCAACGAGACGGATTGACACAGTGGCTGCAACAATGGGCTCAAACATAGCAACAACTGTGAGGATGGTGCAGGATAAGGCAGTGTTTCATTCTGTTGTACATAGGGTCACTATGAGTTGGAACCAACTCGACAACAACTAACAACAACAACAACATTTCCATCTCCATGGTGGCCTTGAAAACCAACAGTCCACCATCATAATGAAAACCAGCAGCCTGGAGCCTCAGGAGAGGGTAGAATATTGTCCTATTCCTTCAAATCTCCATTCCCAGAGAACTGTCATCATTTATTCCTTCAAACGCCATTCTCAGAGAACTGTCATTATTTGATCTGTCTGGTGGTTCCCTGGAAAACCCCACTCCTAAAGTTGTCTTTATTTGACTTGATTCACAGTTTGCCCACGGAAAAATGTCTTTTACCCGGAAGCATTTGTTGAAAATAATTAGAGGCTATTTTTTAGCATCATGGTAGCCTGAGGTGGTGGACAACAGTTGGGGAAAATAGTAGGCTAATCAAAAGGCTTAAAAGGAAAAGATGGGGAATGAGATGTCCATGGGGACTTTGATACACTCTGACATATTTCTAGGAATCTAGAAGGCCATACACATGTGTAGGGCTATGTACCTGCATAGGATTATGTGCCTGTTTAGGAAAGACCTGAGAAGATCCTAAGCTTTCACCTATGAATGACCTTAAAGCCTTGCAAAAGCACACATACAGAACCCCTCAGCAAAGACTGGGAGACTCATTGGTCCTGGGAACGTAAGGAAATCTCTGTAATTAGCTGACCACTAAGCTAACCAATTAGAGATGTCAGTGACCACATATGACAAAGACAAAGACTTTACAAAACAAGTTCAGAAAAGTCACTAAAACAAACAACATCAAGAATAAACTCTGGAGGGGGCGGGGACAAGATGGTGGAGTAGTCAGACGCTTCTGGTGGACTCTCTTACAACAAACACCCAAAAAACAAGTGATTTGATTATATATGGCAATCAGGGAGCCCTGAATATCAAAGGCAGAGTTGAGGAACTGGACAGAGTGGCAGAGGGAGGGAGAGATGGTTCGGAAGCAGTGAGGAGTTGCCAGACCTGACCCAGCAAGAGCCTGAGCCCTTCAGGCCTGATCAGCTCAGGGGTAAGCAGTGAGGCAGGCAAGCATCGGTGCTTGGGATGCAAATTCCGCACCGGGAGAGAACCAGCCGCTGAGAGTCTACTCGGCCATGCAGAACCAGTGAGAAGCACCCCTCATCAGTAAAAGATAAGTACTTGTGTACTGCTTACTGCACAGATCAAAAACATCCCCCTTAGGGACAAACCTCTCTCCCACTTACCTCCCTGCTCCCTGCTCTGCACTGGATCCCAGACTGGCTTCAGCAATTGCCAAGTACCCTGGGCCAGAAGTATGATCTGTCACACGTCCTGAGCCATTCTCCTGGCCTTGGAGAGTGAACAAATTAACAAACAGGTGAAAAAATAAACTGCCAGCTCCCCTAAGCCAGGAACCCAGGGTAGGCACAGCTCCCTTGCCTAGGCATAGGCATAAGGGATCCATGGACTTTGAGTGCCTTTTCCCCTGCATAGACTTGTGTAGGCCCATCTCAACAGCATAGGCCCTCATTACTGCAGTACAACAGGGTATATATCGGAACTCTAACTTCAACTGTTTCAGCTGTGAAGTGGCAGGTTCTTGATGTTTGACACTGCTCTGCCCATTAAACAGGGTCTTCACCTACCCACATCAGAGGCCTGAGGACTGGTGGCTCCACCTACGCCACCTAGCCACCTACAATAGGGGCCCAAGAATAAGAGGTACCCCCCAGTCCTTACAGTAAACAGCATTAGGTGCTCATAGTCTGGCTGCAAAACCCACCCACCTACATGTTCTAGGGAACAGGGACATGTCTTCCTCCTGGACACTCGAGGCAGGCAACAGCCCCTTGCCTTGCTCAGAGTGTGTCCTGCTGCAGCCAGATGCTTGTGCCTACACCAATCGCCCATGCCTGTCTAGGACTGTAAGTGAGAGCCTACACCACACACTTGGTGGCTATCTACCTGGGCACCTGAGCTGAATCC